CCCCCCCCCACCCCTCTTCCATCTCTCCCTTTCTCTCCTGCTCCAGCTGTCAGGAGGCTTCATTATTAAAGATTCATGGCGGAGTCTGGGCAGCTCCTCCAAAAGCTTTTGTCAGACAGACCGAGTGTCTCAAATCTCACTGCCACTAACTGGAGGTGACATCCAGACTCACATAGATCCACACACACACACACACACACACACACACACACACACACACACACACACACACACACACACACACTTCATTATGGTTTGCTTCACTATTTGATTTATTTTATTGCTCCAGCCCTTTTTAATTCAAATCATCTTGACAATGGGATTTTTAGTGCTACTTTTATTCCTAATATAATTCCTTATAAAACAGCTCATCAGTGTTAACTCTTTTGCCAATGACAACTTCACGCCATGCATAACTGTTAATCAATGTTTGACACTGAGCGTTGTGTTATAAATCCCCAGTTTAGGCTTGCTTATGTTTTTTGTCATCAGAAGTGATGGTGACCTATTTTGTCTGACAAAAACAATGTTATTCTTTTCATCTGCTGTCTCTATCATGTTTCACAGAATGTTTCATCAGACAAGGGCTGCTCTGTTTTCCCATCACAGTACTTTTTTCTCTCTCACCCTTCCACATGCACACGTATGCATATAATCCATTGCAATACGATCAAACATTATGTATCAATTACAGTTCTTGCAGATCTTAGATAAAGTTACATATAATTTGTCTGTGGCTCCAAGGAGATTACGTAGCCAGGAGGGTGTTCTGTGTTAACATTGGCCTTTTTGCTCAACCCAATGTTGGCTGAAATTAACTTTCTATTAACATGTATGGCTGCACTCTTTACCATAAAGCTCTTTCATAAACTCCTCTGTCCCTGGCTGAACTGTCTTCATTAAAGTTCAAATATGGCATGAAACTATGTTAATTAAGTTCATAGGCACTGGTTAGAATAATTTGACAAAACATAATTAAATTAGCATTTTTGGTCCCCATTAGTATGGCAGTTGTTTTAGTTATTGTTGGCATTTCATGGATGTAATCTACTCCACTATTGTCCCATCTCATAGAAGATGGTAAAGATGACTCCCTACTTGTTATACTATGTGAATTCAAAATAACATGTTGCCAGTCAAATTAGCCTTTCTTACATTAATGCTTCACAACACAGCAAAACACAATACATAGAATGGATTCAATTCTAGAGTTAATCAAATCTACTGTTTATTAATAATTGTGAATGAATAGTTTTCATCTTAAACTAGAAACAAAATCCTGCCATACCTCGGTTTGATGTGTTGGACATGACAAACCCAATTTTCACTATAGGAATTACCCTGAGGTGATTCTCCTCATGGACATTTCAGGAGTGAATAGATAACATACCACCAGGGAAACCAAAAAGGATTTTCACTGAAGTAGAAAACGTCCACAAGTGTTTAACATGGTGTTCCTTTGTCACACAGACCGTTACTGACAGAAGTATCTGCTTCTCCATGTGCAACCGTAGACTATACCGGCCCTGTGCCTTGGGAAACCGTCAACAATGTGTTCTGCCTCATTTCTTCTTAATACAGCAAATCCAGCCTTTCTTTCCTGATTGATGATGCTTCTTAGGTGTTTTTATATTTGAAACACGATTCACACGTGCGCTCTCATTCACTGTGTGTTTGTACGCGCATGCTTTTCAGCCCCATCAAGCAATTATAACTGTATTAATGGTTTATCCAAATGGGAGTGCCTTTTTATGTGTCTATCTGTGCTTTAGTGAAGTAGAATACTGCAAATGGGATATGTCACTTTAGAGACGTTATAGTGAAGTTCCTGATTTACATTCACCCACTTGGTTGCAAGGGGAATCCTTTAAAGGAAGCATTGTGCTTGTCATTTACTTGCTGTCTTTTCTTACACTATCATATCATTTTTTACTTGTGTAAATCAAAAAAGATTTTGCTGGAAATGTCGCTTTCTTTTTGTGCACAAATGTAAAGTTACCTACTAATATTGATCTCCTTTTCTATGTTTTTCTCTGCCTTTGTTTATACAGAAAAGCCCAGGAACAGCAGAAGAAGGTGGTAGTAGCAGGTTGTGTTCCCCAGGCTCAGCCACGGATGGACTACCTAAAAGGACTGAGCATCATCGGGGTATGTATACGTGTTTGTGTGGGGCTTTGATTCACTTGTATGAAAGAAATAATCTGAGTAATGTGGCTATGCAGCATAAACCGTATGTCTGTTTGTGTGGCCTTTTGTTCTTCCCTATTTGTGTCTAATGGACAACCTTTGAGGAGTACACACACACACACACACACACACACACACACACACACAGGGATCTCAGCAGGATTTAAATCGCCAGAGGTCATCAAATAAACAACTGTTAGAGATTCTTACAGACTCTCAAAGCGAGCGAGAAGCGGGTGAGGAGAGATAA